CCATGAGCTTGATACTAGGCAACATAGTGAGACTATCTTAAAAATAAAATAAATTTCTACTTGTTTCTCTTTGATTGTTTTTATTTCTTTACTAAGACTTCTTATTACCCTGCTGAGATTTCTCATGAATTAAAAAGATGCTTTAACTTGATCTAACCCTCAGGTAGTTATAATAGCCACTTTAAAATCCTTCAGTTCCAACATTGGGTTAATCTTGAGTTGGATTTTGTTGATTTTTATTTCATTGAGTTTTTTTTTTCCATTTTCTTAATTCTTCATATGCTGAGTAATTTTTAATGTATTCTAGATGATGTGAACATTAAATTGTAAAGGTTCTGGATTTGGTAATTTTTCTCTGATAAGTATTGCTTCTTTTGTTTCAGCAGACAGTTTTGTTGGCTGAACTAGAAGTACAAATCTTTTTCTTGCATTGTAGCTCTGGTCTCAGTTCAGCTGGTCTGCTTAGAATCTGTTCAGTGTATGCATGTATCCTGGATCAGTCAGATATGTGGTTAGAGAGTTCAAGGATCCTCTCTCTGGATTTCTCCTTGCAAGAGAGGTGTTCCTCACTGTGGCTGTGTGTACGTGGCAGACTGCACTCAGCTCCAGGCTAAAAGCTAGAGAGACAAGAATTTACCTGCAGAGCTCTCCTCTTCCACCTTCAAGCCACTCAAATCCCTGTTCACTGTGCAGTACCTGCAGTTAATGCTTTTTGCATTATGTCTTAGTTTATAATTGTTTTCTATTAGGGATACTGTGTGCAAGATCTCAGTCTGAATAGCTAGAAGCAAAACCCAAATGTGCTTTTTAAATAGTAAAATTTGTGTTTTACAACTAATGATAATCAATGATCTAGGAATATTTTCCTTTACTTCTGCATTGCTATACTACATGGAAGATGAGAAAATAATCCAGTCACTTTGACATTAATTTTGAGCTCATGTATAAAACAGTATAACATCAGCTTGAAATTAAAGTTCAAAATTGTGGAGGACTGTACAAGTGAATGGTAAAATTGTTCACTAGTTGCCAGATCTTTGCAAGGAATGATACAAGAGATAAAAAGATGAATAAAAAGTGGCCTTTGCCCTAGGGAATTTGAAATCCAATAGAGAGCATAATGTAGATACACAAAAACCATAACACAGTGGGCTATGCTTGGTGCCATAAGACCAACACAAAAAATAATGGAAGTTTAGAAGATTAGAGACTATTTTCCAGTGGAGAAATCAGGAAAGATTTCATGGCAAAGTGATATTGAGATGGTTAAAAGATTAAAAGATGAGAACTGGTTGCAGGTAATCAAGGAAAGGAGGGAATTTCAAGAAGGAAATAAAAAATAAGGTCAAGAAGGGGAAGAGCAGAAAATATGTTGGCAGTTTTGTACCTGCGATGCTCAAAGTTTAGTGTATCCAAGATCCACTTAGGGCAGCTTAGCAAAATGTGGAACTTGGGCCTTATTAGAAATTCTAATTTGGAGGTCGGGGGTAAGATACAGGAATCTGAATTCTTAGTAATCACCCCCAAGTCTGTTCATTCAGATGTCTGGGATCATCCTTCACAAACTGGCTTAGAGCGGTATCTGCATGTGAAAGTGCCAGGTAGATCTAGAAAAATTGATTGAAAGTGGGTGGTCCAGGGCTGGGAATGTGGCTCAAGCGGTAGCGCGATCGCCTGGCATGCCTGCAGCCCGGTTCTATCCTCAGTACCACGTACAAACAAAGATGTTGTGCCCGCCGAAAACTAAAAAAAAAAAATAAATATTAAAAAAATTCTCTCTCTCTCACTCTCTCTATCACACTCTCTATTTAAAAAAAAAAAAAAAGAAAAGAAAGTGGGTGGTCCAAGGCTCAGAAACCATGCTGATAGCACCTATTAAAATGCTAGAAATGTCACATACTTGAGGGATGTATTTTGATATGTTTATACTGAAATGATGTGATGTTTGGAGTTTACTTCAAAGGAGTCCGGTTTGGGCAGGGTAGGGCATGGAGAGAGAATGGGTGGGAACATGGATGGAAAAATTGGGTGTGTGTTGATAGTTGAAGCTGGGTGATAGATTTTTGGCAATTTATTTGCTATTTTTTTCTGCCTTTGTATATGCTTGTTTTCACAATACAGAGTAAATAAGAAGATATTAGGGGGAAATGGGAAAAATAGTTAAAAATGAAATCTACTTCTATGGTCATTTCATGGCTTATTTGCCAGACGATTTATTGTAATGCTCTCAAGCTCYTTGTCTATAAAACAGGATAATAGTAGATTATTGATAGGGTTGTTTTGGAGATTTAATGAGTTTAATGTAATGCAAAGCTGTGCCCAGATCACCATGTTCCATAGGAGAGCTTATTTTCATTGTTACTCTACTTTGGCAGGCAACGGTGTTCTGTTACACGTGGCTGAGCATGTGTGTAAGATAGAATTATTTACAGAACCTTTGAAAAAGAGTATTTCATCTTACTGGGATTGCTACATAAGAAAACTGGAATTTTAGTTTTAGAGCCAAGTAAACCAACAAAACAGGTCACACCTACCTCAGCCTCAAGGCGGAATTAGTGACACTCCTTGCCAGGAACGTGTASATGCTGAGTCAGCCTTAGTGACAGCAGAGCAGGTTTTCTGTCTGAATGAGCCTGTGGCTACATGAGAGGATGAGACTGGTAAAGGACAGCCAGGGGAGGACACAGGACCCCAAAGAAGCAAATGTGAGCAGGGGTTGGCAGGTACAGGTCCTATCCGGCTGATCAAGGGATTGGGAGAGTCCTACAAGGAAGAGATTTGATAAGACATCAGGACAGGTTTGGGGACTTCTGCCAAAGTGAGCAGGTTGGAAAGATCTAGAGTAAGATTCAGTTCTGAACTAATGAGACTAAAGTGGTGCAGAGGTAGTGAGCCAGAGGAGTTGAATGGCCTGTGTGTTTAAATAGAGCCAAGGTATTCAGAGGAATCAGTAGTGTCACCTGGGAGGCAGGTTGTCCTCTGTGAGGCTCCTCCACCAGCACCCTGAGGTGGGACTCTGCATGTTTCCACAGCCACTTGGAATGGCCCCTCCACATGGACCTGATTCTCATGATCCGCAGAAGGCTGGGTGTCTTCCCAGGAATGAGATCTCATTGGCCTCTGCTACTTGACATCGTCAGACATTCTCTTAAGTTCCATCTAGTTTTAGCTGTAATGACCTGGTCTAATGAAATTATGAGTAATAGTAAGCTGTAGCTATGCGTTTCATCCTTCCCGTATCTGGGCTCTTTGAGACACAGGATATCACTTGTGACAATCCAGAGTTGTTTGTATACGATGGATGATCCTGTGCTCCATAGAGAGTGGTTATAAACTATTACTGTTTATTATGAATGGCCCTTTCCTTCTGCCTCCCATCAGGTTAATACTGTATGTGAAATATTTTAGGCCTCAGGTAAATGAAGATGATGGAAACCCAGTTGATGTGTCTTAGTCCAAATTTTCTTGATTCTGAGTTTAGATAACCAAAGAAGTTTAGAGAATGGAGGCTCTCATTCCTAATAGTTTACTAAGTCGTCCTCATCAAAACTGTTTTAGTCAGCTTTTTTGCTCTTGTGACCAAAAGACCTGACAGGAACAATTTTAGAGGAGAAAAAGTTTATTTTGGGGCTCACGGTTTCAGAGGTCTCAGTCCATAGATAGCAGGCCCCATTCCTTGAGGTTCATGGTGAGGCAGAACATCATGGTGGAGGAGTGTGGTGGAGGAAAGCAACTCAAGACATGATGATCAGGAAACAGAGAGAGAGAACTCTCCTCATCACGACAAAATATATACCCCAAAGGCACACCCCAATGACCCACTCCTCCAGCCACACCCTACTGGCCTACAGTTACCACTCAGTTAATCCTGATCAGGGGATTAATTCACTGATTAGGTTAAAGCGCTCTGACCCAATTAGTTCCCCTCTAAACCTTCTTACATTGTCTCAATCATGAGTTTTGAGGGACACTTCAAATCTAAGCCATAACAAAAACACAACAACAACAACAATAACAAAACAAATACCAAAAACTTGTGTTTGGCAATATAATTTTGATTAACATTTTTGAGAAGCTAGAATTATTCAAGTAATTTATCCAATCTTTATTTTACTACTGTAGGCCTGTGTTAAATTTAAAAAAGACATTTTTTTTCTTTTTTTTTTTAGTTGTAGATAGACACAACACTTTTATTTTATTTATTTATTTTTATGTGGTGCTGACATTCAAATCCAGTGCCTCACATGTGCTAGGCAAGTGCTCCACCACTGAGCTACAGCCCCAGCCCCAAATTTGAAAAAATAATATTAAACCACCAAAAAAATTGTTAGAATTCTACAAAACATACTTACTACAGAGCAACAAACTTATAATAGAACTTTACAGTGGTTACAAATAGTCATATAAGTTTATTGATTTGCAAAAATGCCTAGGGATATATTAAATGGAAAAATAAGGTTTCAAAATGACATTATAATTGAGCTTATTTTGTAATAAAACAAAGTGTGTGTGTGTGTGTGTGTGTGTGTGTGTGTGTGTGTAGGAAGGAAAAATACTCATTTCTAGATGCATATTCTTTAAACCACGTTTTAAATGTCACTTCCTCTTATTACTTTGATTTTTTTTTTTAAAAAAAATATTTTTTTAATTGAGATGGACACAATGCCTTTATTTATCTTTATGTGGTGCTGTGGATTGAACCCAGTGCCTCACACATGCTAGTCAAGTGTTCTACCACTGAGCCACAACCCCAGCCCTATTACTTTTATCTTGAAATAAAGAATTCATGTGTACTTAATTTCAGAACACAGGTTTTTGCAGTGAAGAGAATTTGATGGAAACATTCTTTATAACATTTATGTCACAACTTGGCAAATTTTCATTGTGATATTTTTGGTTCCTGGTAAAGGAAAAGTTATGGTTCTTGAGTTGGCTATACATTTTGTTGCCATCGGTGTGGCTTTCCATGCTGAAATTAATGCTTATCTTTTCTTCAACAGTTGGCTAAATTCCGCAGCCTCCTGTGTACAGCAGAGGGTGAAGCAGCGGCATTTTTGTTGAGTAATCACCGTCCACCCCAGCCTCTGAAGGGCCGCAAAGTGAGAGCCTCTTTCTATTAGCAGTGGTCTCCAGTGGACATCCCTAAACGTGACTGCAGAGAGACAGCAAACAAAACAAAACACAAAAATCCCCACTAACACTTGAAAGAAGTTAGAATTTTAATCTGCGAGTACCATTTTATGATCAGTGTTAACACCATGAGGAAAGCCAGATCTCTTTAGTTAAACCAACTTAGCTCATCTGCTCCGGATTTGCATGCAGGGATCAAGCAATAAACTTGGTCTGATGTTGTTAAAACCCCTGAAGTACAAAACAAAAACACGGCTGGCCTCACAAACGTCAGAATGTACTGAAGATCCTACCTTGCCGGAGACTGACTCATTTCAGCATGTCTCTCTGTGAAATTTAATGACAAACTTCTATCACTTCCAGAATGATAGGATTGTGATGTCTTTTTCTAAACAAGTAATTCTTAATGTTTTGATAGTGTGTTTATCAAAAGTCGGTATTTCCTTTTAAAGTGAATATTTGCTATGGTTGTGTTGCTGAATCGAGTCTGATACTTTTAATAAAATGTAAGATATGAGGGTTCTGGGGGTGAGATATAGCTACTCAATTTGTCTACTTTTGTACTCAATGTGTTTACTTCTCAGAGCAAAAAATAACTGTATGATTTTGGTAAGGGATTCCCTAGGATATAAAATAGCTATTTACACTTTAATCAATTATGCATATATCATCACTTGGTAATGTTAATAATGAGTCAGCTAAAATTGAGAAGATGAAGTGTCTGCCAGTTTCTGGCCTTACTGTGGTTTGAAATGAACAGATTACACAATAGCAGTACAGGCAGAGCTGCTCACGAGCATGATAAACAGGTTACCTGCTTTGCCCTGTTTTGATGATAGAGCAATCCTTTGTGGGTCATTTTTAGTGTCAATTAGTGAAAAAATTACTTGCATCTCATATAAATACCCCATTGGTCCATAAAACCTTCAGCCCATTTCCATGGCAAAACCCATTTCCTCGTTTATACACACCCCTTAGCCTATTAAGTAATTTTGTAAGATGGCACTTGATGTTAATTTTTACCTCCTATTTCTTGTTTATTTTGGTTGCTTTTGTTGAGGAGAATGAGGGCAGAGTTCCTTTTGCCCTTTCTGTTATGGAGTGACACCAAGCATTAACTTAATAGCCACATTTAAGACTTGAACAGTAGTAGTTCAAGTAGTTATCTTCTGAGAGAAGTTTACCTGGATGTCTTTGACTTGGTGATTTGTTTTTGGACTCTCTCTTTCTGTGAATGTGGATTTTATTAATTCAAATTATTGTTATATTCTCCTTAATAGAACAAATGGGTATCAGTAAATTGTGTTCCAGTGATGTCTCCTGGTGCACAAGATGAGCTCCTGAAGATTAAGGCTGACTGTCTCTAGCTTGAGGCTTTGTGAATTAATATGCAGTAAATATTTAATGAATGAATGTTTAAAACTTTTTTACTATCTTCATGATTATCTCTCTGCTTGATATCAAATGCACTATAAATTAATCTGACAAGTAAAATATGTTTAATATCTTTAAAATGGTTTCTGAAAGGAATAATTTATTAAACCTGATTTGTATAACCAGAAGTTCTAATGGTTTTAAAAGTACTAGTGTTGGATGGGAAGGCATTTCTTTAGTTTGGAGAGACATGTTGTGAAGCATCCTAGTGAGGGAAAGAAGCTTGTTTTCTTAGAGAATGTAAGTTGCTGTATCTAGATTATCTAGATGGTGTTTAGGATGGGGATTGTGATTACTGTGTGTGAGAGTTACCACTTTGTAATTTACCACTTTGTAATTTTCTGCTGCAGAATTACATCAGTTCTATGCCACAGGTTGCCCCTTAGTAGGCTAAAAAAGTCCGCACTGTACTGATCTCCTTGAAGATTTTCTGCTTATTTATGTATCTCTTAGGGACAAAAGGCTTAAGTGTGTTTTAAAATTACTATTTTATTTCCTTTACAAAAGTTAGAGTTTTAAATGTTAGTATAGATATCTGATGTTTGCTAAGCATTTTGTGTTATAATTTAAATTGGATTTAACCRCAATAAAGAAAATGAAAAAACTTTCAACTGTATGAGGGCTATATATATGCAATACATAGAATCAAATTATAGTTTTGCCTAGAAACATTGCAAACACAGTGCCAAAAACACATTTACCCCCTCAACTGTTTTAATGTAAGTTGTGTCCTGATTTCTCACCATCTTGTGCACTATAGTGTGTATTCATTTCCTTTGAGCTGGAACAAAGACACAGTCCTACATTTCCACAATAAAGCTAAAAGAGACATGAGATTCACATTGTTCCACTATTGCCCACCCAATCCACTAGAGAATGATTTGTTCATTAGTTGTTGTGTTTCCTTCAGTCAGGAGCTGTTCTGCAGTCTTGGTTTTCTTGATCTTGACAGTTTTGAAGATTATGGGCCAGCTGTTTTATAGAATTTCCTTTAATTTGGGCTTCCTAGTATTTTCTTAGATTAGATTCAGCCTGTGTATTGTGGGCAGGAATATCACAAGAGGTGCTGTGTTCCCATTGCATTCTGCCAGGTAATCAATTTTGATTTGTCCTATTATAGAGTACCATTCACTTTTGTCACTTGGTTATGACTCTGTCTGCTAGCCTTTTTCATTTTAAAGTGATTATCCTTTGTAGTTAACAAGTATTTGTGTCTAGGAGGGATTTTTTCAATACTGTATATATCCAGTTCCTCATTAAACATCCTATGCATTCATTTATTTCCATCATGGACTTAAAGATACCTATTTTATTACTACCATTATTGTTATATTTCCTTCCTTCCTTCCTTCCTTCCTTCCTTCCTTCCTTCCTTCCTTCCTTCCTTCCTTCCTTTCTTCCTTCCTTCCTTCCCAGCTGGAGCATCTTCAAGCTGACTTCTCTGGCCATCTGAGTCTCTATTTTTTTACTTTCTGACAGTTATATGATGCTCCTGGCTCATCTTATACTTTTCCTTCTCAGGATTTAGAATCAGTAATTTTTCAAGGAGATCTGGCTTCTTTTAGTAGAAAATAGTATTGGAAAAACCATGATCTGCTCAGTAGGTGAGCTCAGTGATATTGAAGTGTTGCTACTTCAAGACCCTCTCAGGGGACAGATGTCAAGAATGAGTGCATATCTACACACACACACACACACACACACACACACACACACACACCTCTGTGTACTTAAAAATGTCTATATGTCTTAAAAACTGATTTCATACTTGTATTTACAATTTCAATCCAACACTTTAGGATTCATTCTATATTTGTAATTCTTTTTTTCTAGCAGTGAAAATCCAGACTTTTGTTGTTCTTAACATACTTATTTGGTCCATTCTTCTGTGTGTTGCCAATATTCCACCACCACCTCTGGTCTCTCACCCTACCCTCCACAGAAGCTCCCTTCTCCCTCTGATGTCCCCTGCTGGGCTTCCTTGTCCCCGGATATTGCACAATGTTCACTTGCTTGACTCTACCTAATGGTTGATGGACCAAGTTATTTAGGAACAGAAGGGAAGGGAAAATAAAGGATACCTTTAAAATAAAGGTATAAACTCATGTTGGTGAACAGGAATACTTTTTTCCTTTTGCTTCGGCAGTGCTGGAGATTAAACCCAGAGCCTTGTGTGTGCTGAGCTACATCCTTACTCTTCATTGAGTTGAATTGACTGGACATTTCTCCAGTATGGCTAAAACCCCACCTTTGCCTTCATGGAGAGGAATTACACCAGTTAGGAACCCCCACCCTCACCCCAGCCCCCTCATGGACTGAGAGAAGTCTTTCTGCTGGAAGATTCTCAGCATTTCCTTGCTCCTCTACACCCATCAGAATAAATCACTCGGTGGAAGGGAGTGGGTCCATTGAACTTCCCATTTCCAATGAGTTTGTTTTCAGTACAAGGTCCTCTGGGTGAAAAGGGAGGTCAGGTTAGCTTAGATGTGCTTATGGGTGAGAGCTATAGAAACCCTTGTGTGGGTTTGTGTCTCAATGAGATCAGATGGACCATAACTTGGTCCTAAGTTCCTCATGGAAGGCATAACTTAGAAAAACATGTCACACAAAGGTTGCTGTTTTAACAAGGACTTCTGGAAATAGGCATCCATGGTCAGACTGGTACTGAAGGAGCTGGAGGTATAGGGAGCCTCTCTGAGGGTCCCAGACACAAACATATAATTAAATGCACGTTGTCATTTAAAAATGTATGTGGAACTATCAGATTCCTACAGGAAAACAGAAACCACTCAGTTTTTCAAAGAGAGGGTGTAAATGCTTAAAATTAATTACAGAAGTGATGGAGGATGCTGAAAAAACAGAGGACAGGGAGACAATCAAGTTTAGGGAAACCTTCCTCCTTCCTTAGAGGAGGGCAGGGTTTCTAGAGCCTAGAAACCAGGGCCACACAGTTGAAGCTGAAAGGAAAGGGCCTGGTTAGCAGGATCTTGTTATTTTTTGGAAAGATCAGCTACTACCCGAGACCCTGACTGAGACAGAGAGACAGGGAGGAATACTTTAAGTTCTCTGTCCATTTCATCCTCCAAACTCCCACCGGTGATACCCAGTGTTGGAGCCTAGCCAGAAGCCAGACCACATGGAGATATATGAGGTCATCTTCTTTGCTATACAGGAAAAAAAAAATCAGTGGACAAGTACAGTAGTGGATATGAGGGCAAATGGACTTAGGACTGGAAAGGCACTGGCTGGAATCTCCATTAGGGAGGTCAGGTGAATGGATATGAGGCTAGACTAGAAGTTTCCAGAGATGGAAAGCCATTGCTAAACTTCTCTTCCACTCAGGAAATTTAATTTGACCATCATTTATTGAACATCTTATGTGCTAAGTATAGAGGTATAAAGGTTAAGAAGTGATTTGTGCTGGGCACGGTGGTGCATGCCTGTAATGCCAGCGGCTAGGGAGGCTGAGATAGGAGGACTGCAAGTTCAAAGCCAGCCTCAGCAATGGTGAGACACGAAGCAACTGAGTGAGACCGTGTCTATAATTAAATACAAA